GGGGGGGGGGGCACGCGGCGAACCGTAACAAACAACAACAACAAGAAGAAGGGCAACATCACCCCCCCGGAACATACACGACCACAGCCACAACAAAGATATCAACAGCAGCTGCAGCAACAACAACAGCAACAACATATTTCAAACACCACCATCACCCCCACCACAAAAACGATATCATCATCACCAGCAACAACAGCAACACAAATCCCTTCAGCAAAACACCACAAAATCTACACCAACAGCAACAGCAACAGAAACAAACATCACCACCAACATCACGTGCCGCAACAAAAACCAACAACAACAAACAAACAAAGGGCAACGGTTCGTCGCTTACCGTATCTGGTGACGAGCAACGTTTGCCGCACCGGCGCCTGCCCCGTCTCCGCCCTCCTAGACTTGCTGGCGATGAACCCCACCATCTTGTCGCTATCCCTGCACGAGGACACCTCGGGGTTGGTGACGATCACCGCCTCGTCTGCCAAGTACATGGCGTGCCGCGCCCCTGTGACCGACGTAGAGATAAAAAACGTGGTTGAACGATGGACACCCCAACCGCCGGGGGGCGCCCAACATGTTTTGGGGTGATTGTTGGATGTCTACGTATGCATTGGTATTGTCGTCGACGAACAGAGAGAAACATGCTCTAGGGTGCTCGTATGGTGTCTACGTGTGCGTGTGTGCTATCGTCGACAACAAGAAACATTTCCATGGAGAGACAGGCCCCGGGGCTACCATGGTTGTTGGATGAAAAAGTGTGAATGTGCGTGCATGTGTATTGTCGTCCACCAAACAGAAACATGTGTGATGTCGTCCAAAAACAAAAATATTCTATTGGAGAGAGGGCCCCGAGTCCTGCACGTTACCGTAGGTTGATTGTTCGATGCACGTGTGCATGTGCATTATCGTCGACAAACAGAAACAGTCCCATGAAGAGAAACCCCAGGGTTGCATTGTATCCCTGCTGGGAGCGGCCCCCGTTCTGCTCCACTCCGACGGTGGTGAATCACATGGTCATGCCAGCATGGCTTCGGAAAGAACACACATGGTGAAAAAAACGGTCCTACCAGGGTGATTTCAGACAGGCAAACCCGTCCGAACGCATGCACTCCCTTTTCGTGGTGAAACAAATGGTCATACCAGCAGTGTGACTTGAGATAGGCAAACGCTTCCGAACGCATGCACCCCCTAGGCGAAAAAAATGGCCATACCAGTGTGACTTGAGAACATTTCCGAACGCATGCACCCCCTAGGTGAACTGTACGGCCATAGCAGTAGTGCGACTTCAGAGAAGCAAACACGTGCGAACGCATGCTCGGGACCCCTATGTGAAATAAATGGTCATACCAGTAGCATGGCTTCAGACAAGCAAGCACTCCCGAACGCATGCGCGGGACCCCTTTCGACTCGCCTGACTCGATCCCCGCGGGGCTGTCACACACGACGTAGTCGAAGCTCTTCTGCAGCTCCCGTATGACTCGCGTGACCCCTTCCTGTGTCAAGGCCTCCTTGTCCTTGGTCTGAGACGCCGCCAGCAGGCTGAGCCCGGGATTTCGTCGGTCCTGTATCAGGGCCTGGTTCAGTGTGCACTGCTCCTGTTGAAAGAGGGGCATTAGGGGGATCCAAAGGAAGACCAAATGGTGACCACTTCTACAGAAGGCGGGACCACTCAATACCGTCTTCGTGGGGAGTATTTGAATAACCCATCATCGACTAGTACATTGTTCTAAAACTGAGCGCCTGTTCTCATGCTCACCTTTTCCAGAGCATACCGAAATTAACCTAGGCGTCGTCGAGGACACACGCAACCAACCAGAGGTGTATGTTGAGATCACAGAGAGTTGACTACAGCAGTACGGCAGCGAAAACTAGTCGGCGGTTGAAACGCGAGATCGGGAGAGGCGCCCAAGCTTCACCGCACTGATAGCGACAGAGCCGTGTCTCACACTACAGTACACTACAGCTGGAGGGAAGGTCTCCTGAGCCTGTCTGTCCCTTTCGCTGCTTCGTTCCGTGTCAACGCAACATCATCCACATCATCATCAACATCATCCACAACATCATCATCAACAACAGCGACGGCAACAACGACGACAACAGCGACAACGGCAGCAGCAACAGCAGCAAACAGCGACGGCATCCATCCACAGCAGCAGCAACAACAAGAACAAGAACAAGAACAAGAACAAGAACAAGAACAAGAACAGCAACAGCAACAGCGACAACAACAGCAACAACAACAGCAACAGAAACAACCGCAACAACACAAAAAATTGCGGACGATGACTACAAGGCTGGCAACCACCATCTGCGACCACCACCTGTATGACGTTGACGAAGTCGAAAATCACCCTCCGCTCGCACCCGAGATGCAAGTCCATGTTCCTCAACCCGATATCGAAATCGATCACACACGTTCGGTGCCCCGCCTGACAGGTTTGAGAATGGATTATGTACGCAAGTGCGAGCGGAAATAATCGTGAGATGTCACACGCGCGGTTGATGCGGGAACGATCCTCTATTATAGCTGGAAGATGCTGCAAGGTTTTGTGTCTTGTCCAAGCTGCTTGAATGTAGCCATCTCGCCGTTGGAGACCCTGCTAATCCCTTCTTTCATTCCAGTTGTTCTATAAAGTCCTCGGCAACCTCTAGAACAAACCACCTCACCCTTATCCAATGCGGTAGCAACACCGACCTGAATCGAGCGTCTCTCATTCGCCCTGACGTAAAAATTGAGTCCGTTCTCGGTTTCACCTGAATATACACACCCTATTTTTTAGTGATGGGGACGTTCTGGGTGGAGAATGACAAATGTAGTACCCTATTTGGGGCCGTAGCCCGTGGAAACGTTGCTTCGTCCCTCTACGTACCTCGAAATGGCACGGAAAAGGTGATGAGGCAGGTCAAGTTCATTCTGACAAACACCATTCCATTGCCAATGACGTGCACTCACTGTGGATCCCAAAACGCCAAGCAACTTGCCAGGGGTGGCGGCCTGCCCCCCTTCCAACAACTGCTGCTGCGTCACGCAAAATCCAATCCCTTTCGTGTTTTCGAGCCCGGCAAAGTGCCCTTTGGAATGCATGACATCATCCTCACACACATCACTCCGTGCACTTCTCGGCCAGGGAACATGAATCCCACAGACATGATTCCGTGCCATGGCATTAGTCCCACGTCATGATTCCGTAAACACCTGAGGAAGGGAAACGCGTAGCGTCAATCCCACAGACATGATTCCTTACCATGGGATCAGTCCCACAGACATGATTCCATAAACACCTGAGAGAGGGAAACGCATGGCATCAATCTCACGGGCATGATTCCGTACCATGGGATCAGTCCCACAGACATCATTCCGTAAACACCTGAGAGAGGGAAACGCAAGTCACCATCTCAACACGTACACACCTGAGCGAGGCCGTACGAGAGACTGGCAGCGGTCGTGGTTTTGCCCACTCCGCCTTTGCCGGAGGTAACCACCACGACGCAGCCCTCCCTATCTTTGCCGCCATTTTCCCCGGCTGCCGACACCGTCGACAATTGCCTGGCACCGCTGCGACGCCGTTAATAGTAGTGGTTGGCGTTTCGATGGGCCAGTAGGAAAAATTCGGGCTAAGGGGAGGTGAACTCAGTCTCGAAACAGCGATTTGGCATCATGAGAATCGCTACAACCACAAGCGAAGTCCAACACATGTACCGAAATCGAATTCGGAGCGACCAGTATTAATCAAAACTACCGGCATACGTCCACGGGAGTGTGCCATGTTTCAAACAAACATAAGCACAGAGGGTCGTGTCATGTTACGGGGAGACGTGTGCTCGACTAACACTGTGTTGTTCAATTTTTGAAGCAATTCAAGCGTGAGCGGAGTCACTCTTCACTGCTGTACGAATCAGCGCATTGGGAGTAGGTGCAAGCATCTCGTTTCGCCAAGGTACTCGCCTAACATAAGTAGGATTGGTGAAGAGGTTGCCGCGTCGAACTGGAACAAGTCGTGGCGTGGCCGCAGTTGCTCCGTGCTGTGCCAATGCGAGAGAGCCAGCGACACAAAGAACGAGAGAGAGATGGGGGAGGGGTACAATGAGCGCAGTTGTTGCACACACTGACTGCTGTTGTGTAGAATTAAGGGACCGATGGGCATGACAGGTGTGGAGACGACCGGTCAACAGGCATGCTGCTGTCCATAGGCGTAGACCATGCTGTAGATTACGAACACACACGCGCACCTGCAAAGCCCCATGTCCTGTGGATGGGGGGTGCATGGATGCACATGGCACATGTCACATTGAAGTGGCGAGATCAATCGGCATATGGCAGATACACCAAAATCAAAAATCCCCAATTGCCCAACGCAGAGCAAAGTCGCAAGGCGCGCGCCTGTTACACACATGTGCACTCCCCTATAGTGCTGTCAACAGCAGTACACGAAGGGACGACACATTACACAAATGCACCACAGTCTGTATGTAGGCGTTGGTGAAGTACCACATGATGTATCCCTGCTCAGTGTACCACCCTGTTCGGTTCTCTGCTGCTGCTACTCTGTTTTAGTCTGCTCTCGAACGAATGCTTGCATATATGCACACAGAGTCTTGGCGTGTGGCGACGTTCCGTCCAGGGAATGGACAGAATCGCGCCGTGCAAACGACGATCCTTTGATCTCTTCGCTCCACACACAGCAGCATTTTGCACACACAAGGGACTGCTGTATAAAGCTGTCTACACACAAATAGTCCTCCTGCGCACCTTTCCCACAAATGGAGATCCTTGCAGCACCACCCAGCCAAAACGTCTCTGTGCCACTACTCCTACCATCGCGATGCGTACTGCACTGTGGTAAGCGAAGGTGGCTAGCCAGCGTGGCTGCGTGAGCTGCTGCACGCCAAGGTCCAAGCTCGCCGGGCGGGGGGGTCGAAACCCCAAAGTTGCACATGGGGTATATGACCATAATTGGAATCCTAGTTGTGGAGCCCCTCACCCTGGTAAAGGCTGGCTACCGCTGCTCCAAGCAGGTCTTCCCTGGCGGGCGTTGTTGAGCTGCACGGGCGGAAGAAGTCATTTGGTGAGTGTTTTTGCGAGTCGTCGTCCTTCCTGTACGAGAGATGTCCCGAAGGAAATGCGAAGGTCTTGATATATCGGACGTGAAGTACTCCCTGCATCAACTTGCTGTCCGCCCCCCTCTTATCCTTTCACACACATGAATCCTTCTGTGCATACATAGTTGGCTGTTTGGGTTGTCTTGCAACCAGTCACGGATCTTGGCTCTATTGTTTGCTTCTTTCGTCATCTATGCAAATAATTTGCAATCGTTGAAGAAGTTCACTTTGTAGCATGAGGCCTGGCGGACGAAACCATGTAGCATAGGTACACGTGCAAAGTAGTCGTAATGCGTTGTGGCAGCACCTACCGTACAGATGCACCCAGCAAGTGTCAGCAGTACATGTAGTCCACCCCGCCGACGTTGACACACACATCAACTGAATACCTCGCGACGACGGTACACGCAGGCTCCGCAGTACAAGGCTGGGGAGACCTGCCTGCCTCGCGCGCTCAAACGTATTGGAAATGGACTGCTGCCACTACCACGGCAACGCGCGCCCTCCTGTCGTCGCGGATACGGCTCAGCGGCGGAGAATACGGAGGAGGCGTTGCAGTTGCCGGGAGTCAGCCTGCTCTTCGACGCACGGACCGGGAAGAACAACAAGCGAGGCGGCAAGGATCCCGGGCTGTTCGCGCAAGAGAAGGAGGAGCGGCGGCGGCGGCGGCGGCGGCGGCGGCGGCGGCGGCGGCGGCGGCGGCGGCGGCGCAAGCAGCGCACTCCTCTGCGGCCTGTTGGGCGGGGCGCTTCTGGGAGGGGGCGGGGGACCGGCGGTATCGGCAGCATGGGCCGCTGCCGGTGGAGGCGCCGCTGTTTGCGGCGGGTCACATGCCGCCATGCATTGTAGATCCAACACGATCGCCTTGATACAGCTGGGCTCCGCGGCGATGGGCGGAGGGTTCTGCGGGTGGGGTGATGCCGGCGATAGGAGAGCGGGTGTTGGGAAGGCTGCTGCTAGGAGGCCCACGGAGGTAGAGCTCTCTGTGCATAGTGGTTCCGTCGCAGTTAATTCAAGCCTTCCCACGCGTACTGTAAGAGTCATCGCTCTTGCCGTGATAATTGCTATTCGTCTTGCGCCAAAGAACCCGTGACACACACGTATTTTAATCACACCCAAGCGTTGGATCATTATTCAAGGTGTGCATGCTTGGGGGTCGTCCACCAGCGGATCGCATTAGTACACGCGCTTGGCCAGATATGTGCGATTTCATGGTGCTACATACATACGGTTGTCACGATAGGCCACCTAACTCCCCAGCTGGCCAAACAACCTACCACCAGCTACATCGCCTGCTTCCGAGGCAACACTATAATACTCATCAGGTCCCTCTTCTCACCAAGCAACCACCATTCGAAGCAACTACAGCAGTCAGTATACAACACGGCCTCAGTGACTGTAATTGGTAGCCCACGATCAGAGGGCTGCCGCCTTAAGTTACCACCACAGGTAGAACTCGAATTTTGAACTTTTCCTCGTGTAAGGAAGCCTGCGGTTTCCACCTTCAGCCCCGTCCTTGCTCGAACTTGTGTTGTGTACGTTAAGCCTATATGTATAGCCCCCCCCCCCCGCTGGGGTATAGGAAACGGGCTGAAAAGGCGGGAAGTGATATCGATAGGATAGGGAAGACTCTTTCAGCCACCTTTGGTAAAGTAGGAAGGATCGATCGGCAAGCGGTGATCGGTCCCATAGGAAAAGTTCTCCGCGCGTCCTCTCAAGGACGCGTGGTCTAGCCGCGAAGGCATGCGAAACATGAGCACGTCCCCTTCCCCCCCCCCCCTGGCACGGTGTCTCCCCCCATCGATTGGCATGAAATCCCCCCAACAAAACAGAAGAAGCTCGGCGGCTACACCATAAGTGGCAGGGACCGCGGCAGGCGATTGTGGGAAGATTGGGATAGAGGGCACCGGTCTTTCGCGACGGCGACGGGAGTGCAAAACAAGGAGGCCAGGATCGCGGCGTGCGGGGGTGACGACCAGCACGAGGTCGAGAAAGAAACGTCGAGTCGCATCCAGCCCCCCTCCCTGCCGTTGTCTGCCTCTAGCGCGGGGGGGCGTTCGTCGTCGGAAAGAAGATTATTACCGGAAAATTCTTGTGAAGGAGAGCTTGCGGCCGGGGAGGAGGAGGAGATAGGGGAAGCGGTTCTCCCCGTCGCGGCGGCGGCGGCGGTTGCGGCGGTTGCGGCGGCGGAGGTGGACCCCGCCGACCCGTTCCACGGCGATCTCCCCCTCGCCCGGGAGCAGCGGCTGATGATGGCGGTGGCGGAAACGGGGTCCGCAACGGTGGAGGCAGCAGCTTCTACCGCGAGCCTGAACGGCTACAAGCGCGGTGGTGGTGCTGGTGGTGCTGGTGCTAGTGCTGGTGCCGCCGCCGCCGCCGCCGGCCAACCGCCCCCGCCTTCCACCTTTGCGGGGGGGGGCTCTCCCGCTGCCGGCACCGACGATAGGACACGACGCGGCGGCGGCATCAGTAGTAGCAGCAATGGCCTACATTGGGCCGACAGGAAGAAGGACGATTCGGCGCGGATGCGCAGGTACTTGCCGGGTACGAAGGGCAACGGGCAGCAGCACTCCCTCGGGGCGGCAAGAAGGGAGGAGGCTCCGCAGCCACGATCCCCGCCCGGACGGGAGGACAAGGACCCACCCGTCGAAGGGAAGAATGGGGTTAAGGACATGGCTTTGGAGGCGGGAGCTAGAGCAGAGGAGCCGGCACTGCTGTCGTCTCGAAGAGAGGGTGCGGTGAACAAGACTTCTAGCGGCGGCGGCAGGGGGGAGCAACACCCTGACGACGACAAGGCATCGGCGGAGGATGCCTCGATGCAGCAGCAGCGCCGTCAGCGGAAGTGCCCTCCGGCCGTGGGGTTTGTCGGCGGCTTCTGGGATGTTCCCGTCGGTGCCCCTTCCTCCGGCCGGAGAATATCCACCACGGAAGCGTTGATCCACGCCCTAAGCGAGCCGCTCAAGCCAAGCCCGCGCCACGCGGCCGGCGCAGAAGCGAGCGTTGGTCTCGGTGGAGGGGAGTTCCCGAAGACGTCAGGCCGCTGGCCGACCACTGCTAAGGCCAGCAACGGCAAGGGGGCAGCGGCGGTACAGCAAGACAGGAGCGGCGGCAGCAGCGGAGGCGCCGGCGGAGGAGGCACCGGCAGGCCGCGGCCGAACGCAAGGGACGCCTTCTCGAGGGTGGCGCTAGACGAGCGCTCCAAGGAGATGGCTCCTCCCAACCGCAACGTGACCATCACCTTCGATCCGGGCGCCTCGACCCTGCTCGGGTGCATCACCGCCAACACGGACGTGTACGGCCCCGCGCTGTGCTCGGACACGGCGGCGACGCTGACCCGGGAGGAGACGGCGGCGTACCTGGAGCGATGGGTGCTGATCGCCGTCAAGCACGGGGTCCTGCCGAGGGAGCTAAGGGCGTTGCTCCAGGACGAGGGCCACGACCAAAGGGGGGGCACGCCGGGCTACTACTCCGTACGGGAGGAAGGTAGAGAGAATGCCGCTGCCTCCGGGACAGTGGGAGAGGACGGTGGTGGTCCCTACCGCGTGGGAGGGCGCAGCGGTATCGGTGGAACAGGGTCCTCGTCTCCTCACGGCCTCGGTGGCGGCGGTGTCACGAGCGCGTCGTGGACGAAGTACGGCTGGAACCGTTTCGATGTAGCCGCCCCTTCCCCGAGCGTGGCGGGGGACATGCAGACGCCGCAGTCACAGACGCGGCGGCGGCGGCGGCGGCGGCAGCTGGCCTTGGACGACGAGGAGGTGGAAGAGGAGGAGGAGATGGAGAACATCGCCGAGGCCTTGGTCGGGGGCGGAGGGGAGGTCAACGGCGCCGCCCATTCAGGTGCCTCAACGACGCGCGCCCCCTCCCCCGACACCCCCCTCCCGACGTCCTCAGCGGGAGCCTTGAGGACGGAGTGGCGTTACCGACACCCAGATCCCGTCGCGGGTACCGCGGGAGGCTCCTCCTCCCCTTCCTCCTCCTTCGCTCTCGGGCGCCGAGCGGGGGGGGGGTGCTCCGGCGAGGAGCATCAACAAGCTTCCCTGGGGTGGCGAGTGCTGGAGGTGGTCGAGGCCAGGTTCAAGTCGGGGCTGCACCCCCCGCGGATCGTCGCGATTGGAGACGTCCACGGCTGCGTGAACGAGATGAAGGACTTGGTGCGGAAGGTGGAGTACTGGCCCGGCGACCTGCTCCTGTTTCTCGGCGACTTGGTGAGTTTCTACGTGTGGAGGGAGCGGGGCGCAGGGTCCTGGGTCGCTGCGGGTTTTTGTGCTTCGTTTGGTTGTTCTTTTGGATTCTTAGGCGTGATTTATTGGAGTACCGTTGCGACTTGGTTAGTTTCTTCGTGTGGAGGGAAAGGGAGGAAGGGTTCTGGCGTGGCGTGGTGTTTATGTTTGGTTTGGTCTTTATTTTGGATGTTCAGGCGTGCTTGCTTGGTGCTTTGATGTTTTGTGATTCGGTGGTTTAACATTGGATTCGCACGCGTGGGCGGCTTGGTGCGCATTTTTTGTTTCCTCTCAGGCAGGCACTTGTACCATTTCTGTGCATCCGAGCATGTGTTCGCGGGCTGGAGTTTTTTTCGGACAAAGAACACCACAGAAGAAATCAACACCATAGATAGGTGTGCTGGTCCCGCCCCCGAGCCATTCGCATTGTTCAATCTTGTGGCGGCTCTCGTTTGCTTCACCGGCTGCACACAGCAGACGCACTCGTCATCCTTTGCCGGCTTCACGCAAAACATGCTCCTTAGGCCCCGCCCAAGTAGCGATTTTCTTGTCTACCATCATACCATAAAATCACTTGGCTTCCGGTTTTCCTGATCTAATGCCTCTGCGGTGGACGCTGCTGCCACCGGCCGTGTTCCTCTTCAGGTGGCCAAGGGACCCAACAGCGCCGGGGTTGTGCGGACCGCGAGGGAGTTGGGAGGCGTGTCCGTGAGGGGGAACCACGAGTTTGAGGTGAGTGTTTTTTGTGTGTGTTACGTGTAGGGTGATGGTGCCGATGATGATGTGGCGGTTGCCGTGTGCCGTAAGAAAACGGGGGGGGGGGGGGGG